TCCTTTAGGGAGGAAGACTCAGTTGGGCTAGTCGTAACACCTTTTTAATACAAGCGGATCTCCTTAGAAAAAGAAAAAGTGAGCAGGAGACAGAGGCCTGGGGCTCCCAGCTCTCAGTAGGCACAAGGACTTAATAACACCGTCTTGTGTCCACTGCATTTAATTGTATGGGACTTTCCATTTCTGGCAACTGATGCTGACTTTCTGCTTCAGGCCATTGTATAGTGTGTTTCCTTTAAAATAAAATTACCTTAGTTTAAATAAGTTGAGTTGAAGGGAAATAGAAAGCGAGTAACAGTTCTGGTGATATTCAGATTTAACAGAAAATTCTAAGTAGAATGGCCCAAACTGGGAAGGTACTATGGGGGCTCAGTGTGTCTCCTGAAACCAGATTGAAACTCTTATAAACAGGGGCATTTTTTTTTCCCAGGGAGAGACTGTAGCTTCCATCAGATTCTCAAAGGGGATCAGAAACTGAAAAAAGAACTAAAAAACCCACTGCTGTAAAATCAAGTGGAACTAAATATCAAAGAATGGAAAGTCTATATTACTACTTAAGTCTAGCTTGAGATTCCTGACAGCTTTTTAAAAGAACTCTTTGTCACAATGATTTCATCATTGTCCCATAAAGCTGCAGTCCCCAACCCACAGAGCTTGGCCACCCACCCATATGTGGAAAAATTGTCTTGCATGCTGTAATCCTAGCACTCTGGGAGGCCGAGGCGGGAGGATTGCTCGAGGTCAGGAGTTTGACACCAGCCTGAGCAAGAGCAAGACCCCGTTCTCTACTAAAAATAGAAATAAATTAATTGGCCAACTAAAAATATATAGAAAACATTAGCTGGGCATGGTGGCGCATGCCTGTAGAACCAATTCAAAAGGAGCTAGGACGGGGCCGGGCGCGGTGGCTCCACGCTATAATCGTGGCTTGCTTTTCCTTTCCGGTTACATCATCAGCATGCAATCCAGGTGACAGCAGATCCAACTGGCTAGGACGCTACTGAGGAATCACCTGGGAAATTAAGACAATAGAGAAAGGAAAGAGCCTTCTTTGGACATCTATTTTCTTTCTTAATTGCCTCCAGGAAGATCTAGAGCAGGTGTTCAGTAGCTGAAAATTTATGGGTAATTATTGGGCTGTTCAACCCTGGGGTATATTTGAGTATAATTCCTTTAACTCGAAGCAGTTTTACAATAACAGGGATTTGACGCTTACCTAAATATGATCATTTTGTGTACTTCAAAAGAGAGAACATCTGTTTTTCCCTGTGCATTTGTTTCCATAATATCCCAACACACTCATGCCTATTTTCCTCATATATAATATCCACGGAGCTAGTTCTTCGAAAGGTGTTGATGTGGTCTAATTCAATTGAGATGATGAGTGGTGTGTTGAGATTGGCTGCTCCCTCACTCAAAAGAGCCTGATCTGGGAGCCTAGAAAAAAAGACTGTTGAGTGTTCTAAGAAGCAGGGATGACAGCTATATGCCATTGTCCCCCCAAACTGGGTCTGGGTCTTTAGGAGACTGTAGGGAGGTTTGTTTATTAACCTTCTCGAACTGACCAGGTGATTCTCCAAAGACACAGAGCAGTGGTGGAAGTCCAGCTACTGTTCTTTAAAGAAGAGCCCTCCTGGTGACTCAGACCCCAGCAGAGCCATCCCTAGCCTGGGCCACCTCCGCCATCACGACGTTAGAATTTAGGATGGCCGTTTGCCCAAGCCACCAGGTCACTTTATGAGATGGTGTTTGCTAACAGAAATAACCTGGCAACATCTAAGCTGCAGTGGACAAATGACCAAATGGTAAAGCAGACTGCCTGTCTCGTATAGACTTGGAGTGCTCTGTGATAACAGACTGCGTTGGTGATCACAACCAACATACACAACAAGTCCATTACATTGTCCCATAAAGCTGCAGTCCCCAACCCACAGAGCTTGGCCACCACCCATATGGTGAACATTGTCTTGCATGCTGTAATCCTAGCACTCTGGGAGCCGAGGCGGAGGATTGCTCGAGGTCAGGATTTGAACCAGCCTGAGCAAGAGCAAGACCCCGTTCTCTACTAAAAATAGAAATAAATTAATTGGCCAACTAAAATATATAGAAAACATTAGCGGGCATGGTGGCGCATGCCTGTAGTCCCTACTTGGGAGGCTGAGGCAGGAGGATCGCTTGAGCCCAGGAGTTTGAGGTTGCTGTGAGCGAGGCTGATGCCACGGCACTCTAGCATGGACAACAGACTGAGACTCTGTCTCAAAAAAAAAAAAAATTGTCTTCTATGAAACGAGTCCCTGGTGCCAAAAAGGTTGGGGACCACTACTGTAATAGTCCTCCTTTTTGCAGACTGGTGTTTCCAAGAGTGTTTCAGAGAAC